ATGTGTTGGACTATAATTCCCTGTGTTTCCCAGCCAGCCATGGGGAATGCTGGGAGCTATAGTTTAATGCATTTGGAATGCATCATGATGGGAAAGGTGGTTCCAAAGGGGTTAAGCCAGTTTAAATCAAAGCACTCCCAATTAATTAGTTTGTGGTTTAGCTGTTATGCACAACATAACCATGTTGGATTGTATCCTGTTTTACACAGCTATCATTGTGATAAATGGATGCCACTTGTATTGGTATATAGAACCGCAGGAAAGAGCTACAAAATTAAACTGGAAAAATGGAAGAGAGGGACGATGTGATAATGGTGTTCAGGCAAGGCATTTTTAAGCCAAAATTTCAAATGAGATGGTGAGAGATAAAAATAGCAGCCCTTTAATTTCCTACAGGCACATGGTTGTTGGCTTTTGGTGGGTATGTGGAGGAAGATTGACTATATCACTCTGCTGTTGTAATATTTAATATTCTGAGCAGATGCACTAAAATTTGGTGGGAGAAATCTGAGACTTGTGCCTGGAAATCCCCCTTAGTATCACAAATAAATAGGAAAGGGGAATTCTTTCAGTGTCCATTCAGGGGACTCTCATGTTATGAACAGCAAAGAAGGAGGGCTGGCCTTGCATTAAGCTGACTGAGGCAACTATGAAAGGCTGCTTTCCCCCACCTGAACCCCTAAGATCCGACTAATGTCACTACCACCACTGCCCATTCACTCCAACAGGTGGTCGTCTGGCCAGCCACTTTCCCAAGGTGGCATTTGCTGCAGCAAGAGAGGGGCCAGTGGGGCTCTCTCAAACAGGCTTTGTGCTTCATTGCCTAAAGAGTGATGCAGCAGGAAGACGTGGTCGAGGGCACCTCATAAGCGCTCTGCCGCCATTTCTCCTGGCTGTGGTGCTCTCCAGGCAATGAAGCAAACAGAGGGTGGGGAGCAGGAAGATCAGGGTCAGTGACACAGTGCAGTGCAATGTAGTGCAGAGGAGAGCGATGCAATAGTCATGTGTGTTGTCTCTGGCTCAGGTGGCAAGAGACCTTGTCCTGTGGCTGCAAATAAGCCTAGGGCAGGGACAACAGAAATGCATCCTGTTCTTTTAAAACCAAAAGTCAATCTACCAGGAAATCCATGGTGATTTGGCTAAAAGCCTTTTAGGTATGTTTTTCCAGAGGTAGTGTTCCTTAGTTACCTTCTAGCTCTGTCATCTGGCTTCTAGGCTTCCTTATTCGTTTTGTACTGCAGTGTATTGCAGAATATTTGAATAGGGCAGACCCAGATTTAAGCTCTTCCAATCCCAGCTACTGTGTAGTCTCCAATAAATAATTGTATATCTACCTGTCTTACCTCATAGGACTGTTGTGATGGTAAGGGATAAAAGATATCCAAGAAGACTATAAAAACGACCAAGAATGCCTTGCTATTGGTATTTTCAAGCTGAAATGGTTGCTCTTTTTGAAGGTGTGAGTAAAGCTAGAAGGAGCAGTCCTGGTTATTAAAGTTTCTAGGCTACATCTAAGGTAAATCAACAGGAGATGCAAATAGCATGCTGGTGAGTCGAATGGTCCTGTTTGGAGGTGGGGTCTTATTTATTTATTTAAAGTTTTTATATGCCATCCCCATTGCTACACAGGTCTTGAAGAGCAGTGTGGGAAGAAGACTACTTGTTGCTGTACAGGTTGTAGATGGACAGTTGAGAGCAGCTGGATGCTCTGGGACTCATTTGTGATTCACCCGAAAACAAAGGGTTGGATCTAGGATCCTCTGTCCACAAGACAAAAGGACTTTCTACAAGATGAAATCAGATAAAATCAATGCTTATCTGAGTTTTTGGGCTCCTCCTACTCCCCTAACACACACAGTGAACAACATTCTACAGAATCGCTTGTCTCTCTGAGTAGCACTTATAGGGAGCTAGTTAGGCAGCTGTGGAAAGCTAGCAGAGATATCTACTTCTGCCAGTGCAGTTGATCTATTGCAAATCTGAATCCAACCCTAAGAGTTTGGATACTTGTGAAAGGAGCTGATATCTTCTTTGGATTAAAACAAAACTGAGGGGAACTAGATCCTGGACATCTGTTCAGTCTGCAGGTCCAGTATGGGCTGCAGCTCTCCCAAATCTTTGTTAAAGGTCTTCCCAGTCTCAATGTCTAGATCTTCTAATAGGAGATGCTATGGATTGAATATAGAACCCGATAACTAAGCATAGGAATACAGATTGAATATGGAACCCTATTACTATAGGCTGAACATCGCCTTCTGGAATTCCCCAGCTGGCCTACCAGCTTTGTCCCCAGCTTTTACTTGCTGGTAAGAGCTAAGTGCTCTTCCCTGCTCAGAAAAAGGACCAAGACCTGGAAAGAGGACACAGGACTATTAATTTTATTTCTTTATTTCTTTATTTAAGACATTTCTAACCCATCCTTTGCCCAAGCTTCAAGACAGCTTACAAAAAATCAATGAACAGTATAAAACACAGTTAAAACATCCAATAAAAGCAATTTTACAAATAACAATAACAATTCAAAATAAAAGAGAAGTATTTTAGTCTTGTTTACACCTGAAATTTGCCCTAAATTTTTGGGGGGCTAAGGATCACATTCTGCCCCCACCCATTCTGTATTTAGCCATGCCAGCTTTGCCTTTGGATCCACAGAGAGAAAGAATGTGAGACCTTTCCCAAACTGAATTCAGTCCTTGGCTGGAGAAAGTTTTCCAGCCCTGCTTTAGGCACGAAGCAGGCTCCCATGGCCCCCTCTAAGGGTTCTGGCAAAGCTGCACACACACACACACACACAATACGAAAGTATATCTAACATTCTGTAAACATACAGGCATTCCTGCCACCACTGGCAATCTACCCATGGATTGTGTGTGTAGGGTGGGGGGTGCTTCCACTTTCAAACAGGCTGTTTTGGCTGTCTGCAGCAAATTTCCATCATAACCCCAAATCTTCTTTAACTGCAAAACAATGAAGCACCTGTCTCCCTACTATTCTTATTCTTCCCTTGAATTGACTTGTTCTCTGCCACAGTTATGAGGCAGTTTTTACATACTAAGGAAGGTAGGTAATAAACGTCCCATCTTACACATTTCTAGGCATTAGAATGTACATGATTTTACATCCAGAACCCACTCTGTTGCAGAAATGCTTTTGGGTGCATATTCCCCATGACTAGCACTGCCTTCCTACAGATGTCTACCCAGAAATTATGCCCATTGACTTCAACAGGATTGACTTCCAGGTCAGTGAATATAAGCTGTAAGACTGCAGCCTGTGTCTGTTATCAAGGCTGTAGTTTTCTGTTTATTATCAAAAATCCCCATCCCATGACAATGTTATAACCATACATTCAGTGAGTTAGTGACATTTCTACAACAATAGCTTGTGGCGACTGGCCAGAATTCAAAATTTTCTAATGCTGATTAAGAATAATTGAGAATTATACTAATTATACATATGATATAGGGAATGTTATCTATACATGTGATATCTATAGAGGGAAACTTATTCTTGCTGCAAGTAGCTAACCATCTTACTGACAAGGCTGGTGACAGAGGGCTTGAGGTGGACAACAGGAACAACATGCAGTTACATGCTTAACTAGGAGTAATTCTCAGTCAATATAATGGGATTTACATCCAAGTGGACATGTATAGGCTTGCACTGTATTTTACTTAGATGTGCTTAGGCTCAATTAAGTGCAGGTAAGAGCTAGGCAACCATTTTGGAGTGAAGAGCAACAATGGCAGGTAAAGAACTCCTTAGGGACCACATGCCTGGGCAGGCCTGGTGGTAGGCTGGATTCTCTTGAATGGGATTAGGGCATCCATTCATAAACACACCCTTGCCTCAATGCAGTGACTGCTGTGGGAAGGTTTTCCCTACCCTGCCACCAAAACTATCCCAGTAAGGACTGCTGTTTTTCCACTGCTAAGGGCGGCAGTAATCGCTTTCCTGCAACCCACCTTATAACTGATCAGCTGTGCTACATAGAATAATGGGCAGGACTCCCCAGCTGCACAGAGCAACAGGAGGCCAGGGGATGCCCATATGTGATGTAAGGTATTTGGGGTAGAAAGTCATGCAAATCTTCTGGTGTAGCCCTAATTCTGTAGTACAGGCTACAAGGTAGGGGAGTCTAAATTCTTTCCTACAGCCTTCCCAAAAGAGTGCTCTGTGGATGCTCTGGACTACAACCCCTAGCCAGCATAACCGATTGTCTGGGATGATGTGAGATGTAGACCAAGATATCTGGAGGGTACCAGATTGGGTGGCTAGTTCCATGAACCTAGAATCTTTTGTCTCTTAGAATCAAAATTACATTCCAGGGCTAGGTAGTAAGAACACGTGAGCTGGGCTACGTGTAAGTTGGGTGCTTATAAAATATGACATCTATTGTTTGAACCTGGGGTAAAGATTTGCTCTTTGAAAATCTTCTTCCAAGTTCCTCTTCAGAGCATGAATTCTTGAAATAAAGGAGTGCTGTCCGCATATGCAAATTAGAACATTATCCATTGCATCAGCCTGAACTGTCATGAGCAAGAAGGTAGATGGGGATCTACTGGAGGACCTCTGCGTAACTGCACAAGACTGGCAAAGGTTTCTGACTCCCAAGTGTCTAACAATAGCAACAGTGTTTGTTCATAAAAAAATGCCTGGGGACAAACCAGGACTGTATTTTTGTGTAAAAGGGTTCTGGTATTGAACATAAAACCTTGGGCTGGGGATGTGATTTGAAGTACCCCATCCTTTCAGTCTTGGCATATATCTGTTCACTCGGCCAATATTTTGCCTTGGCTCTGGTTGGTGAACCTGAAGGTTCCAGTGGAACAGCATTAATAGGACCCGGAAAACCCAAGTGTGAGGTCCAGCCCTGGGGTTCAAAATATTAATCCTGCACCCTTGCCTAACCGCAACACAGTTGGTCCCTGCAACATCTCATTGGTGATGAACCAGCAAGCACTTTTATTTGAAGCGCCACAGATGTAATTTGTGGCCGAAGTGATATGGGTGGGGTGGAGACAGTGTATCTTATAATACATTGCCATCTAGTGGAGAACCTCTATACATCCTGACTACAAGACGAAAGACCAGGGAAACGACTTGGGAATAAGGATTTAAGAAGTTTGTCAGATTTCTCGCTTCTTCCCTGCAAGCCCCCACCAAGCCAATCCGGTTCTTTCCCGCGATCTGCTTCTGCTGTCAGAGTTTTGTCGTTTATCTGTGCTAGAGCTTGCTTTCATTAAAGTGAAGTACACCTTTGAGCTACATTATTCATTTTGAATTAACTTTATTACCAGCTTCATAGAACCATTGGCAAAGAAAGCTCTTCAAAAAAGAAAGCAGTGCGTCAAAGGCCTTCTCCCCTCCCCTCTTGTCAATTAACAAACTTTTGCTATTCATCAGTCATCAGCCAGCGAGTCTGTTCTATTTAAATGCACTGGCTTCTTCTTCTTCTTTTTTTCACTTAATGCATCCCATCTGTTTCTGAAATAAATTGCAATAATCCGTGTTTAATGTTAATCAATGTATTACTAAATATGCAAATTATATTAAAAGACGTGGTTTGAAAAAGCTTTCATTTGTAAATATGGTAGCTCCAAAGGAGAAGCATATCTAAAAGCCATTTAGCTACAGTAGCCTAAGTCTAACACTGTGGCAGATTTATAAAGCGGTTCGCAAGTTGATCTTTCTCCCACAAGGGGATATGTAAAACTGTTGCATATCAGATGTTGTTAACATCTGATGGGCTAGTGCTAACAGTGTAAAAGCCTAATTTTCATTGGCATGTCTTTTATATTTAAATTAATCTTATTCCAGCTTTCTAATTTTTGTGAGTGTATGCCTGTGTGATGATTCTTCTAACATCATGAAGAGTTTATAAATCACAGGGAAAGCGACTTGAACAAGCTTTTAAATCAGTGATCAATGAACAGTACTTGAGATCATACTCCAGTGGAAGTTTCACATAGAATGAACATTCTTTGTTCAAGGCATGAGGGGACAGAGAGCATTCAGGTAGTTATTTCAGAAAGTGGTGCTCCAGATCCATTCCCCATTCCTTAAGAGGCACAGTGAGAGGGGCCATGGCTTGATGGCAGACCTCATGCTTTGCATACAAGTCCCAAGTTCAGTTCTCAGCATCTCCAAGTAGGGCAGGAAAAGTTCTGACCTGAAATCGTGGAAGGCCATTGCTACCAGTCAGTGTTGACGGTACTGCGTTAGATGGACCAGTGGAAGGATGGGTTTAGGTAGATGGCTGTGTTCTTTGAACAAGAGACTAGATATGCAGATATGAGGAGCTGAAGCATTCCATCCGACAGGTGAACATGATTGTTGGCCAACTGCTGCCAGCCAAAGAGCTGTGGAAGGGGCAGCAATAAGGGCTGATTGAGAAATTGGCAACCTCTGTCCCAGTGATGTGGCAGCCACTTTCAGTGCTCAGCAGTCAGACAGTGTAGAAGATTATTAGCATTAGTGTGAATGAACATACACAAACCCAGACTATCCATGCATTATTACATGAAATCACATGCCAGTGCAGGAATCTCAGGAGTAGGAGGGGTCTGTCTCCGCACTGGAAAGAAGTAGAGGTTGATGAAATGGGTACTTTGAGAGGAGCTGGGCTCCTTTCTGTTTATATCTCAGTCCCTATAATTGAGTGCTTTGCCCAAGGAGCATATAAGAGTTTTTTTACTAGTTTTGCAGCAACCTTAAAATTGTGGAAAAAAACAAATATCCCTAAGTGGAGACAGCCCAAAGGAGGGTCGAGCATGTTCAATGGCCACAAATACTATGTGACTGTTGTTTGGGGGGGGGGGGGTTGATGGAATGGAATGGCTGTAATCCTAAGCAGCAAAATTCCAGTGCAACATTTTGTTTCACGTCCTGCTTTCTCTGTGTTAGAACAGCTTCTAAAGGCAATACACTCAGGTTTACAATATCCCAGGCATCTATGCCCCACCCCTCCGTATCTGTATTCTTAAAGACATTCTTGTCTATGATTGTATTTGATTATTTAAATTACTTGTATACAACACTTCATCCAACTGATTCAATTGTGATAACAGCAAATATGCATGATAACATACTAAAAGATGTAATACAACCATAATATTAATGATATAAAGAGGCAGTAACTATAAACAAACAGCAGCAAAGCCATTTCTTAAAATGTCTGGCAATTAATTTTATGATGATGAACTAGGTTTCAAAATGAATATATTGTAGGTAAAAACTACAAGACTTGGGGAAATTCTGGATCCAATACATGTTAAGAATGAGCCTTTGTGCAACCAGCCTCAATGAGGGCAAGAGAAAATTCAGAGGACCTCCTAGGACACGGCATGTTGATCTTAGAAGTGTTCATGGATGAAGTATGTTATGCCCATGATTCTTTGCAGGTTGGATTGCCATGCCCAGGGAGGCCTGATTTTAAATTCAGTCTTTGGAAAGAACAGGAAGGACATCCTCCTGTGTAAAGCTGGATTTGTGTCTTAGGGCACATTCCTATCCGGGCTGGACAATGCTGGGAATTGTAGGGCTTTTTCTGTCTGAACAAGCATAGGATTGTACTGTCATAGTTTCTACTCAAAATAAGACCCACTGAGTTCCTTTACTCCTGGGTCTGTAGAGTTGCAACCTTACTATCTTTTCCTGAACTACCCGCTTTGCATTAATCCTTCCAATAATACCTCTTAGGATAATTCGAGGGCCATGCTGAAAAAATCCAATTGGAAAAACACCTAATTTGTCTATGAAGCCAAAAGGACCGAGACTGCTTGTCACTGTGTACTTCATTGTAAGATTTACAGCAGGGGTCTCAAACTCGCGGCCCGCGGGCCAATTGCCGGGACAGGCGAGGCACAGGGGAGGGGCCCTGCGGCCTTCAAAGCGCCGGCGGCGCCCGGGCCGGCCGCGGGATGAGCGGCCCACCACCATCGCGGTGGTGGAATACTTGATGTGGCCCAGCCTCACCCAGACTCTACTTCCAGCGGCCCCCAGGTAAGTTGAGTTTGAGACACCTGATTTACAGTGAACCTAGGGACAAATTCATGGAGACATTCAGTATCAGAAGCAGGTTGTGTATGTACACCAGTTGCTGGGGAACATGGGTGGAAGGGTGCTGCTATATTTATTTATTCCATTTATATACTGCTCAATAGCTAAAGCTATTTGGGTAGTTCGCACATAGAGAGGAAGGAAGAGGCACCTGGACCTCTAATTCTCAGCCCTGAGGTTGAAGCACGGTCTCCAGCCTTGGAGCCAGGAACCCATAGTATCCCTGGCCACTCAGACGCTGTCTAGGATTGCTCCCTTTGGCTTTTTTGTTTGGCTTACTTCTGTTTGGCATGTTATGTTATTGTGATCATTTGATAAGGAGCAACTTGACTTGGACAAGACCAGCAACTTGACTGGTCATTTTCCTCACTTTACTAATAGAATATGTCTGCCTATATTCACTGTTCAAATGTTGTGGCGGTATGTAAACAACAGTTCAACAAAGCAATATTCAAACATGGGATTGTTTTTCCAGAAATAATAACTCTGTTCCTTCACATACTTAAGAGATTTCTCTACCACCTCAAGAGAAAACACACAATTCTCACAAATCCCTGAAGCAGAAATTTCTTTAATACACCCTGCACAATTTAGCTCACAGTTTCAAGGTGTGTATGAGGTTGCTATGTTTACTTCTGCACTCTTAGGCAGAATAAACCAACTAGATGAGTAACAAGACAAGTTTTAGATATACACCTTAAAGAATTTGCTTGTAGAAAGGGGAAACTAGACATGGATTTGAGCTCAAAGCATTAGTTGAAACAGGATGAAGAGTTAGAATGAACATCACTCAATCCTCTTAAAACATCTTTGAGCTTCTCTCCTGCTGTTGGTGTGCATGTGTAAAAGACAAAAATGTAATATTAAACAGTTCTTGTACTGAGTTTTAAAACTGATTGTTTTTAACAATTTTTACTGTAAATTACACTGAAACAAAACCTAAATTAAAAAACAATCTCCTTGGAAATTAATAATTGCTTAAATGTAGCTGTAACAACTTAAATAAATGTAGATATAACAGTATAAGATCTATCCATTACATACAAGCTGTGACAATTTATTTAAACTAATGCAGGAGTGTAGAGTTATATTAACTCATCAACCAACCTACTATTTTTGTACCGCCTGTGAACAGAGGTACTGTATTTGAAGTTCATTAGCAGTTCTCTGCCCACTGTCTCCCTCCTTCACCAGGTCTGTACACATTTGGGAATGGCCCTTTCCAAGCACAAGCTTTCCTTCCTGTATAAAAATATGGATCGGTTAATATTAGCAGATGCTCTATTTAAAAAGGTGAAAAATGGTGTGGCCACATTTTTGCCTTCATAGGAATGGTTCCATAGCAACAACTCAGGTTTGTGACAAAGGTCCAGTTTCCTTTGCTCAAAATCATTTCATTCATCAACCATGCATAGCACATAGCAGATTGCAGTGGGGCTTGAGAGAAAAGTCAGAAAGACACCGCCCCCCCCCCCCCACATACAAGAGATCTCACCAACTAGAGCAAAAGGAGAAGGAAACAGAAGGTACAAATTCTGAACCAAACTCACATGACAGCCTTGCTCCACCATCACTGGAGGATGGCAGTCCTGAACCACTTTGGAGTGGTTTTGCAAGTCCCATCCTGGTAATGGATGGGGCCAAAAGAAAAAGCAGTGATGCCAAAATACCAGCATGTTTTAGTTTTAGCTTATTTTTTGGCTGCTAATACTGAAGCCTTCCTTCATGGATCACTGCCTTGTTGTGGCGAAGGGGCTTGCGTAGCTCAATGAAGCTATGAGCTATGCCATGCAGGGTCACCCAAGACGGACAGGTCATAGCAGGGAGCTCTGACAAAACGTGATCCACTGGAGAAGGAAATGGCAACCCACTCCAGTATCTTTGCCATAAAAACTCCATGGACAGTACCAAAGGGCAAAAAGATATGACGCCGGAAGATGAGCCCCTCAGGTCGGAAGGTGTCCAATATGTTACTGGGGAAGAGCAGAGGGCTAGTGCTAGTAGTGCCAGAAAAAATGAAGCAACTGGGTCAAAGCTGAAAGGACACTCAGTTGCTGATGTATCTGGTGGTGAAAGGAAAGTCCAATGCTACAAAGATCTATACTCCATAGGAACCTGGAATGTAAGATCCATGAATCAAGGCAAGCTGGATGTGGTCAAACAAGAGATGACAAGACTGAACATCAACATCTTAGGAATCAGTGAACTAAAATGGACAGGAATGGGTGAATTTAATTCAGATGACCATAAGGTATACTACTGCGGGCAAGAATCCCTCAGAAGAAATGGAGTAGCCTTCATAGTCAATAAAAGAGTAGGAAAAGCAGTACTGGAACACTATCTCCAAAATGACAGAATGACCTCAGTTCGAATCCAAGGCAAACAATTCAACATCACAATAGTCCAAGTCTATGCCCCAACCACTGGTGCTGGAGAGGCTGAAGTTGACCGGTTCTATGAAGGCCTACAACACCTTCTAGAATTAACACCAAAAATGATGTCCTTATCTTCATGGGGGATTGGAATGCTAAAGTAGGAAACAAAAGGTAACTGGAATAACAGGCAAGTTTGGCCTTGGAGTACAAAATGAAGCAGGGCACAGGCTGGTAGAATTTTGTCAAGAGAATACGATGGTCATAGCAAACACTCTTTTCCAACAACCCAAGAGACGACTCTACAAATGGACATCACCAGACGGTCAACACAGAAATCAGATTGACTATGTGCTCTGCAGCCAAAGATGGAGAAGCTCTATACAGTCAGTAAAAACTAACTGTAAGAAAGAGAAATTGAATGTAGAATTCCAGAGAATAGCTAGAAGAGACAAGAATGCCTTCTTAAATGAACAGTGCAAAGAAATAGAAGAAAACAACAGAATAGGGAGGGCCAGAGATCTCTTCAAGAAAATTGGAGATATGAAGGGAACGTTTCGTGCAAAGATGAGCATGATAAAGGACCAAAATGGCAGGGACCTAACAGAGACAGAAGAGATTAAGAAGAGGTGGCAAGATTACACAGAAGAACTATACAAGACAGAGCTTAATGTCCCTGATAACCACGATGGGTGGTCACTGACCTCAAGCCAGACATCCTGGAATGTGAAGTCAAATGGGCCTTAGGAAGTCTGGGCAACAACAAAGCCAGTGGAGGCGACAGTATTCCAGCTGAGCTATTCAAAATCTTAAAAGATGATGTGGTAAAAGTGCTACACTCAATATGCCAGCAAACTTGGAAAACTCAACAGTGGCCACAGGATTGGAAAAGGTCAGTTTACATTCCGATCCCAAAGAAGGGCAGTGCCAAAGAATGTTCAAACTACAGC